CGGTGGGGTAAGAGAGTTGAATGACCACAGTCTTATTCTTATACTAAAATACATAAAGACCGTTTTTGGATGACTTATACTGAAAAATTGTGTCGAAAATTGCATGGACTAGTTGCATATTGTAGAGAAAAAATGGAACTAGAGTCTAATAGGTCATTGATAAATTAAATTTGTATACTTAATTATATAATTGATAGATCATCGGTAAATCACTAGTGGTGTATTGTAGAGAAAAAACAGAACTGGAAGTAAGATAGAGAAAGACATTTGTTATTTAATGATTTCAGAACACCTTACATGTATCATAAGAGTTCTTATATTAGTAATAAATGGTATGTGCACTAAATACATGTATACATATGAATTAGTCTATGAGATTTGTAGTTCAAATCCTTTCTTAAATATGTCTTCTTACGTCTTTTGAGATTAATTCTACATTTTATAAAAAGAATATTACCAGAAATAGGACTATAATAGTTTTAAAATTTCAAAATAGGATTGCCATGTTTTTATTCCAAAAATGCAACTAATTACTACCATGTTTTGGCAGTACCAGACTTCAAACATGACAATATTTTCTAAACATGACAGTATTATTCCTATTTTGGGAATAAAAAATATGACAATAATATTTTGAAATTTTCAAACTGTTTTAGTCCTATTTCGGAAACTTTCACTTTTATAAATCGGACAAGCAACTAAAAACCACCCAATTGTCCTCTCAAAACTTGTGCCTCAACAATGCATAATGAGGGTAAACTTATTCTTTTTTTTTATTCACTAAAAAAAAGGATGACACACCATCCCTCAACCCCTCCCCCCCCCCCCCCAACACCGTTCAGATGGTAGGTTGGGAGGATGTAAATTGGATTATAATCTCAGTCTGACAGATAGAGAGTGCGGCTCCGTCCCCGGTACTTGTAGAGACTCTATGCATTTTTAGGGTAGTAACCTCTCATCGCAGTTGCCGGGATTCGAACCCGAGATCTAACCCTTGTGGCACTCCCTTGCTACCGGTTGAGCTACGCCCACCGTTTTTTTTCCTTCACTTATTTCGCATCTTAATGTGAGATTCCGACTAGACCCGTTGGAAGAAGTCTAGGTGTAGAAAGGTTAAAGCTAAGATTTGGTGCTTGATCCGAGTTTCATCTTAAGGTCCGTCAGTTTTCAAAATTTCAAACCAACGATCAAAACGATGGCTTCGACATGGATTTTTAGCATCACGAAAAATGAAAGAACATGTTAGAACTAGCGGTGATTATAGGAGAATGTAAGGATGGATAAATGGCTCGAAACCGGATATCACTTCTAGTCACGTAAAATTTATGTTTTCCTAAAAATTTACTATATATTCTTATCACGGTAATCGAGTTACAAGATAGAACTGTTGAGACAAAAAAAAATGTACAGTGTATTTTGGTTACTAACAAAATAACACTAGACAAGTGATTTATATTTAAATGATTTATATTTAAAGTAGTCTAAATATTAAACACTAAAGCTGTAGATAATAGGACGGATATGGCAAAAGAAATAATTTAGAGGGTAAAAAAAATGCGGACCAATTGTCCAATTCGCAACGAAGTCCAACGCACATTATATAAGAAAATTGTGGCCATTCGAAAACTATGTTTCGATTGAGCGAAACAACACAACCCAACTAAAAGTCACGTATAAACATTTAAACAATTGTTCACTAAGGCCTTGTTTGATTCAAAGGAAGGGAGGGAAGGGGAGAGTCAAGGAGGGAAGGGAAGGGGAAGAAATGATTTTGATAAAAATTTGTGTTTGGTTGGAGGAATTAGGAGGAAAGGTTTAATGAAAATATTTTCGCAATTTACTTTTATTTGATAACTTACTTAAAAAAATAGATACATGTCTAACTATTGTGAATATTACGCTTATGGTCATGAATCATAATTTTATTTTATTTGATTTTTTACTTTTTAATTTTATAATTTTTCATTTTTCAGTTTGGAATTTTTAATTTTTTATTTATATTTTTAAATTTTTTTATTTTTTATTTTTAAAATTTTTAATTTTTAATTTTTATATTTTTTAATTTTTAAATTTTTTAATTTTTAATTTTTTTAATTTTTTTAATTTTATAATCTTTAAATTTTAAATTTTATAATTTTTAAAATTTTCAAAACTTTTTGTTTTTTATCTTTTTATATTATAACGTTTTGTTCATTCACGTAGGAGATGGATAGTTTGTGGTTATTAACACGTTTTCTCCGAAATACCCTGATTTGGGGGTTTAGAATGAGGGGAAGTGGAAGATTTTGAAAGTCTTCGACTTTCCTCCTCTCCTCACATATTTCCTTCAACCAAACACACACAAATCCCCCACTTTCCTCCCCTCCCCTCCGAAACCCTCCAACCAAACAGGGCCTAAGGGTATGTTTGGGAGTTTGGACGGAAAGGGAGGCGAAGGCTTTGGAGGTACGTTGTTGGAAAGGAAAGGGAGAGGAGTGTAAGAAAGCCCTTCTTTGTATTTGAGAGTAATAAATTTGGAAGAAGAGGGTTTTTGAATGAATTCTAATTAAAATCACTTTGAGATATGACGAATTTAAATAATTTAACTGATATTTATTTTTAATTGAACTTAAATTGTCATTTCATTAATTATCCTTCAAAACTCTCTAAATTGAGAGAACTTAGAAATTGAGCTTTTTTAGAGGGTTTTGGAGGGTCATGAAAGCCCTCCAAAATAATCCATCCAATTTTATAAGCTCCCAAATATGAAAAGGAGGGTTATAAACCCTCATCAACCTTCCCCTCCCATCCAAAACCCAACTCCCAAACACACCCTAAGTAGAAAATTATTCTTATTTCATAATTAAAATAATGCTATAAAAACCACTTTGAAAATTTGAGCTTATATTTAATTTCTCAATAAATTTCAAACAGAATATAGTACTTATTATTTTTCTTGGATATTATAAATTAAATTTTATATTAAAGTAAATTTTGAATAAAGTGAAATGATATGAACCACATATTTCTTGACAAAAAACGAAACAAGACATTCATTTTGAGGCAATCTCAAACTATAATTATTGATGGACTCGGGCCGGGTCGGGCCCGGGCCGGGCCTAGGCCCGGTCGGGCCGCCGGGTAGTATGACATGGGCCCGGGACCGGCCCGAGGGTTGGACGGGTCCGGTTCGGGCCGGGCCACCCGCCCGGGTCACGGGTCGGGTCCAGTTCGGGCCGGGCCGGTTAGATTTTTTTTTATAATTTATATTTTATAGTTTATAGTTTTATACGAGTATTAAAAACAAACTTCAATTGCATTTATTTGAAATGAAATAGGAACTACATTTGAAAATTAAAACAAACTTTAAGAGATAAACATTTTGAAAATTGTAATCAATCGGAACTTCCCGCACCTCCCGATCCTTTGGCTTTGTCACATGACTTCATATGCTTGATTGCCATCCCGAATCCGCCTGAAGCCCCCATGCTACATTTTTTCTCGCACCATTTACAAATTACGTACCACATCCCGGTCTTCGGGTCCTTCTGCTTATCAAAATTATACCGTATAATGGCATCTTGATTTTCCATCTTAACTTCTTAAGTATAAACTATAAAGTAGATATATAAATAATAAATATAATATATTGGAGAATAAGAGAATTAGAGAGTAGAGAGTTAAGAATAGGATTTAGGAAGAATTGGAGAAGAGATATGAAAAATGTTTAAGATTAGGAGTATTTATAGGTTTTTTTACCCCACACCCCCACCCCCCCCACCAGCCAACCCCCCCGGACCCCCCCTTTACCCCACCCAACGGCTATATAGCCGTTTGGGTTGTCCCCAGCCCCACCCCCAACGGCTAGTAGCCCAACCAAACAATTTTTTTTTTTTAAAATAAGACTGGACCCGGGCCCGGACCCGACCCGGCCGGGTCACATTATTCCAGCACCGAGCCCGCCCCGCCCCTTCCCACCGGTTCGGGCCCATACCCGGTCCCGGACCGCCCGACCGGTCCGGTCCCGGACCCGCACAGTACCGGGCCGGGCCGGGTCACGGGCCGGGTGGCCCGAACCGAATCCATCCCTAACTATAATAAGACAACCAAAATGAAACAAGGTAGTATTCTTTTTATAAAATGATTATAAACTACGGGTATGAAATAATGATAATAGTTTTATATTTACACCAACTATGTTGAGTGTAGTTTTCATTTTATGTAGCAGTGTGGCGATTGATAGTTTATTTGTTTGCACAAATACTTAAAAGTGATGATATCGTCACCGAGCTAAAGCAAAATATTGTGAATATATGATTTAACACTAGAATACTACGGAGTAATATTTTAAAATACTATGAATAACTTTCATACTCCCTAATCAGTGTTGTCTCCATATACGAGGTATATTGATTACATATTTGTTCAAAATTAAAAATTACTCCGTATGCTATAACAAACATATATCACAAATAATATATCAACAAAATATCATTGTCATGCAACTTAAGCAATTTAAGTTAAAATGAAGTTAAACCCTCCCATTCAAAATATCATTATCATTGTCATATATACAACACATTGAAGTTAAACCCCCCATTCAATTTTAATTAATTAAAATCAATTTTACAAATCAATTGGGGACGAAGAAAGTGCTATTTGTATCAAAAAGTTTGATTCGTGTACACCTTATTGTAGACGACGGGCATCTCACGAATGCACAAATAATTTTTTTTTTCAATTTGTAAAGAGAATTTTGTCAACGTTAAACACAATTTTCTTTACTAAACCAAAAAAAATTATCTTGCACAAACAAAATGCCCGACATGTACAATGACGTCTACAAACAACATTTCTCTTGTGTCGAAAACCTTATCGATTTTAGAGAGGAAGAAGCGGAGTTGGATTTTTAGGTGAACGAAGCGTACATCTTTAATGTCCATCGAATGTGTAATTGTGTAAATGAGATGCATGTTGTAGCGGTGCTGATTTTGTGTAAAAACTAAAGACATGATCCATACCTCATATTGTTAACGAGTGAGATGAACGGTGAGAAAATGTGAAGAGCAATAAACTGAAATACATACACATAATTAAGAGAAACACAATGCTCCTTCCATGATTAACAGTTTAAAAATATACAGAAAAGATGGAGGCGGGAAATTTATATCTCATGTAGTCATATGGTCTCTATGTTCTTGAGGCCAAGCACAACTCCAACCCCAATGATGTGACCAAGAGAGCCACATGCCAAGGTATCAGCAAGGGTGAACCCGGCTGGGTCCCCTGTTTGGAGCCCGGAGTCCCACCTCTCCAGCTTCAGACCGGCAGTAGCCCTCCGGTTTGCTGACGGAGCCAACCCAAATCTCCCAGCAAATAGCATTAGGCTTGTTGATGTAAGCATTATCTGTTCAGTGTTAATGATACTCAAATTGTAATTCTTATCGTGTGCAACAATTGTGGCTTTAGAATTTGGAATCTCTGTGGTGCTATATGTACCTAATGTACGTAGTCATTGGGTGATTATCCCAAATTCGAGTATATTTACTCCCAAAAAGCTTATATTCCATGGTATAGAGAGGAGGGAAAGCTGAATAAGTTCTGTACTGGGATGTTTTCTAAAACAATAGATAAATTTATCTGATGTGATCTACTGATCTGCTTAACACTGGTTAGTATGAGTTTGAAAACAATTCAACTAAAAATATCCTAATGTTCCTCGATCATGAATTCTAAACCATTGATGAAATAACAAGTTGTAATAGCTGTAGTACATAATGTGAAAATGGTAACCCCCTTGTCTTCTATTTTTGTTTTTATAACATTTGAAGATCGCTTACCAAATTAGTGGGTGAGCCGATGAATTCGCAACGAGCTCCCAATGCTCCTTGTCCCTTGCGCTTCATTGGTTGTCTGGCAGCCTGCATGGGCCAGATTATAATTCCAGTGCTAGTTTAAATTATGCCTCTACCCTCTATCATCCTTGAAATGAGATAGACAGGTTAAAAACAATTAATAAGTATAAATCTCTTTCATTATTTGAATGGTCTTAAAGATTTTTGGTAAATTTTCCTCCACAATGTCAAGTACAACATCTAGACGTAGACATCATGGTTGACTTTGTTGAGAAAACGTTCCAAAAAACATATAAGACCATATAAAGAAAGAGAGACAAATGTCATTAATTTATTTTTACGAATCTGTCCTTTCTGATGTCATCTATGCAACATGCATATTGGTGCAGTGAACATGCTCTTAGGTACTACATTTGTCCCAAATTTTATGTCTTGTTTAGTTTAATCAAAAGTTAGTGAAGTTACGTGTTTTACTCCTTCCATCCCGAAAGCAATGTTTTAGTGATGCTAAAGCTAGCTAACTATTCCATTACAATAGTTTAAAATAGTTTTAACTGCAAAAAAACTGAACCATATTATCATATTTATCAGGGCCGGCCCAGACATATAGAAGGCCCTGTGCAAAATTGAAAATGAGACCCTAAGTTTTTTTTATCATTATATCATCATTATTATATTATTACTTTCACCGTTTTTAAATAATAGTGTCCTTAGTTTTTTTTGTTGGTTTTAAGATGAAAATAGTAGGCCCTAAAGATAAATGAAAAGTAGAAAAGAGAATAAATTAAGAAAAGTAAAGTAATGACAAAGTATGAAAAAGAAAGTAGTTACAAGCTCGTTCCAAACTGTACGAGGGTTTTGTGCTAATTAATGTAATTAGGCCTTGTGAAATAAAGAAATCAAACAATTGTAATTAACAATTATACTTTAATTACATAAAAATATTACTATTTAATGTTTGTATTTAAAAATAATAATAAGATAGAAATTTTTAATCAAATAAATAAAGATTTATTATATTATATAGACTATATTTAAATTTTTGGGCCTTCTGAAATTGAGAGGCCTTGTGCGGTTGCACTTCTTGCACGCCGTCATCTACGGCCCTGATATTTATGATGAATCAGTATTAATATGTGAGTTAAGTTGATAACATTAGTATAATAAGATATTATAGTGAGTTAAGCTGAAACATAAATAATGAATGAGAACCTAATGTTTGAGGCTATTTATTGATTTGACAGAAATTTAATTCATTGAAATTATTTCTTAGAACCATTTTGTAAAAAGGATCGTTTTATGAAAGATCAGGGTTTTAAATTGATGAGTGAGAAACTTCTTACACAAATTTAGGTAAAGAACGCAAAAGAATGTTCATGAGCAAGTTTGTCAAGTAATCAAGCATAATTCTATATCTCATCTAATATTCCACTGAAGAAGCCACGTGTATATCAAGTTTGGAACCAGATTGGGTAAATGAAAGGTAGAAAGAGGAATTTGGCGGAACTCTTACCATTGGGAAAGAAGGAGAAGCAATTACTCTGAGGCCATTATACTGTGGAAGAGAAGAAGTCGTCATGGTGGCTGCCATTTTTCGTTCTTGAAAGCTCTGGCCCTGGAATTGATTCGATTAGCGAAATCAAAGTTTTCTGGCGATATGTGGTCTGTGATGTTTTTAGTTTGATATAAATTAAGAATATGGATACATTAAGATTTCGTTCGCTGTGATGGATACATACTGTATATAGTTTGATATATGTGGTCTGTGATGGATACATTAAGATTTCGTTCGCTGACATGGCAATGACCTATTGGAAGTGAAATGTGTATAAGATTTGAATGTCTGGTTGCATTTTTAAGATAAGAAAAATGCCTCTTACACAATTTTTTTAGGAAAATTCCCTTTGTACACACCACTTTTTACACACTGGATTACACGTCGGTCATTGTCTATGTACAGACAATTTGATCGGCGTTTTATGAAAAAAATTGATTTTCAACAGAAAAAAATAAAAAATTTGTCTCTATCACAAACATTTTAAATTCTCGTTTAAAATTGTCTGTATCACAGGCGACATTTTATGAAAAATTTTCATCTGAAATGTCTGTGATACAGAGAACTTTTTACTTTTATCTATGTGGAAATCGATTTTCTTCATAAAACGACGACCCAAAGGAGTACGGCCCAAATGACGCTAAACTGCAACAACCCTCCGATGCTCATGTTAGTAAACTGCGCTTCTTGAGTTCTTTTCTGTACACAAACAATTTGACCGACGTGTAACCCGACGCGTACACGAAGCGGGGCTCAATTTTTATACATGTGTATAAAAATAACTTCTACACTTCTGGACGGATGATCTATATACAGACAACTTTGTTTGTGTATATAAACAAAATGTGCGAATAATGTACAAAAAAGGAGTACACTAAACATTTTTTCATTTTCAATACACACTACTAGGCACCTTCGTGAAGTAATTGGTGATGGCATCATACTTGTGAATTACTATGCTACGATATGAGGTTATCATGTAAAAAGGTCTATGGTCTCTCTGAAAGCACTAGGCTCACTTCACTATCTGTCACTGCTCCAGATTCTATGAGGGTATTTTTTATCCAATCACAATAATAATTCCGATTTATGAAATTTTAAACATTAAGTATTATTTTTGAAAACAAAAAGTTTTTATCCTACTTGTGAAAATCTCCCTTCTTCTACACCATATAATCGAGTAATATGGTTTTAATTTTTCCATATATATATATATATCACTATTCCATTAGCCAACTCGATCATAGTGACGTTTTAATCCAGCAGATGTATTCAATTGACGCTACAAACCGAGTTTATGTACTTGTGAGTATCAAATGCAATACAATGTATTCTTTGCTCTTAAACATACAAGTTAATGTACTCATTTGACATCTTTCTCATTACGTACTTATGTTTAAACTATTGAATTATTAATCTCTATATTTTAATTTGTACTCAGGGTTTAGTACCACACGTTTGTCTTTCTATTATATAAAGTGAGTAATCATACGCATGAATTGTAATGGAGCGACATTTAATATATCTACCATACCGCGGAGTATCAACTATTTCTCATTTTCAACCTCTTTAATACTTATGTTTAGCAATTTTGAGTGAATTAATCGATTTAAAATAAATCACAAATAGAATTATTGATACATTACCTATATAAGTATTAGGGAGGGGTAGTGGGGACTATACGTCGATGATTTTTGCTCTAGCGATTTTTGAACTTTGAATGCCCGGCGACGCTCCTGCGGTGGCTCCACCACCGCCACCTCTATCAGATGGTAGGGTTTGGTCTAAGAAATCTTTTGCCGACGTGGTCTCCAATAAGGAATCCACCATTGCTCCTATTCGTTCGAGATTTAAAGGATTGCCTGCAATTTCTTTTTCAGATGCGGACGTTCAACAATTGGCAGCAATTCACAAATGATCGTTGGTGGGATATTTCTTTCGAGGTAGGCCTAGCTTTTCGTTGATCAGAAAATCCTTCGAAGTCATTGGCTTTAAAGGATCTTTTCATTTGGGTCACTTAGAGAAGAAGCATGTTTTAATTCGTTTTGATTTGGAGGAAGATTTTTTACGCTGTTGGAATAGGCAATCTTGGTCATCCAAGGCAATATTATGAGGGTTACTAAATAGTCTCCGGATTTTAAGCCAAACGTGGAATCACCTGTGGTTCCGATTTGGATTGCTTTTGAGGGTCTGCCAATTCATCTCCATGACAAAAGGGCATTGTTTGGGATTGAATTGCTAGCTTAATTGGAAACCCTCTGCATATTGAATCGGCCACAGCCACTCTGGATAGGCCTTCAGTTGCAAGGATTTGTGTGGAGCTTGATTTGGCAAAAGAGATGCCAACTAAGGTGTGGGTTAATTGAGGTTCAAATGGTTTCTCTTAGTCTGTTCATTGTGTTTACAATAGGCCAGCCTACTGCTCATTGTGTTTACATCTGGGTCATTATGATACTAAATGCCCTAAGCACCATCCTGATGTTTTGCAGGAAGAGGTGCCTAAACAAAAATGGGTTGAAAAGAACAAGCAGGTTAAGTTTAATAGAGAGAAGGGAATGAATGTTTTGAATATATTTCTGTGTGTTAAAACTGGTTTACAAGACTGCAATTTATACACATCCTAATAATGTATATAAGGTAAATAATAATACTATAGTAAATGCCAAAGATATGTAACGGCTAACTACAATATTATGGTCTAAATGCAAATTATTTCTTTCCTTCAATACGCCCCCGCAAGCCAGGTATTCTGTCACTGCCAAGAATCCTGAGCTTGTCTCTAAGAAGAATGAAGCGTTGCTGAACAAAATGAAAGTCAATGGCCACATGTTTCATGCGCGTGTGGAAGACAGGATTTGCCGAAGATGTAGTAGCACCTTTGTTATCACAAAGGAGGAGTGGAGGAGAAAGTAGCGGGTGCCGCAACTCACGCAAAAGAGATTCAATCCAATTAATTTCAGAGGCAGCGGTGGAAAGAGCTCGATATTCAGCTTCTGTGGAAGACTTAGCAATGGTACGTTGCTTAACTGACTTCCAAGATATAAGAGACTCCCCGAGAAAAATGGCATATGCGCTAGTAGAGGAACGGTCATCAGGGTTCCTTGCCCAGTCAGCATCAGCAAAGGCACGGAGAGAGGGGGATGTGCTGCGACAAAGAAACAGACCATGAGAAGCAGTTCCCTGTAGATAGCGCAAAAGACGTTTGAGAAGCTGTCAATGATTGACCGTAGGTTTATGCATGAATTGAGCCAGTTTGTTAATAGCAAAGGCAACATCTGGACGGGTAAGATTCAAATATTGAAGTGACCCAAGGACCTGGCGATAGAGAGTGGCATCACATGAGCCTGAATTGTCAAACAAAGTTAATGAAGCAGAGGGAGCTAACGGCGTAGCCACCAGATTAGCCTCATCCATTTTTAATGTTTTTAATAAGTCCATAATGTATTTATGTTGATCAAGAAAGAGTCCACCCTGTGTAGGAGTAACCTGCATGCCCAAGAAATAGTGTAAGGCTCAAAGATCCTTGATAGAGAACTGGTGGGCCAATGAGTCAATAGTCTGAAGTATCAAGTCGGGTGTAGAGCCAGTAACAATAATATCATCCACATAAACCAAAACATAGATGTAAGATGGATGGGAGGAAAAAATGAACAGACTGGCATCAACAACCGATTGATAAAACCCAAGTGAGAGAAGAAAGCCACTAAGAGATTGATACCACACCCCGAGGCGCCTGTTTAAGCCCATAAATAGATTTCCGAAGATGACAAACAAACCCAGAACCATCATTAAAGCCTGGAGGTTGCTTCATGTAAACTTACTCCTGAAGGGTCCCATGTAGGAATGCATTACTGACATCTAACTGATGTACTGGCCAACCATGAGAAAGAGCAATCGTCAAAACAATACGAATGGTAACCGGTTTGATGACCGGACTAAAGGTGTCAGAATAATCAATCCCGGGGCGCTGATGGAAGCCCTTAGCCACTAGCCGAGCCTTATAGCGATCCAAGGAGCCATCCGGTTTATACTTCACTGTATATACCCATTTACAACCCATAATATTCTGACTAGGCTGAGTCGGAACAAGATCCCAAGTGCCCTGTCGAACCAAGGCATCAAATTCTACTGTCATAGCACTCCGCCATTCTGGTACCTGCATAGCTTGAGAAGCACAAGTGGCAATTATATGTTGAGGTAAAGGATCAATAGTGGCAACATTGGCTTGTTTACGGGGTCGAAGGGTCATTGGATGGGTACGTTTAGGCGATGGAGTATCGAGGGGTGGGTTTGAGGTAGTGAGATCAGTGGTGGTGGGTAAATGAGGGGTGAGGATAGGAGGATTGGGTTTGGGTTGGCGTTGGTAATTAATAATTTGTGGAGGTGTGGGTTTAGGGGGGGAGCAAGCTGTATATCAGTTTGGGTAGAGGTAGTGGGTGACGTGTCAAGAGTCAATTGTTGAGCCGAGGTATGAGTAAGAGGAGACGCCCCAACAACCAGAGTACCTGTAATGGGAAAATAAGACATAGAAGGCTGAAGCCAGTGATCAACTTCAGAAATGATATTTGAGACGGGTGGGGAGGATGTAGAAAAGGGGAAGACTGACTCATCAAACACAACATGTCTGCTGACAAAGATACGGTTGGTGGTAAGATCAAGACAATGATAGGCACTTTGTTGGTCACAATATCCCAGGAAAACACATGGTTTGGAGTGTGGTTCTAATTTATGAGTGGTATAAGGACGTAACCATGGAAAACATTGGCACCTGATAAGTCCGTATTTAGACACGCATTTGATGCGTGTTGAGATCGGCTTTTGATGATTTTCCTAGCTTTAAGGGGTTACAAGTCTCAATTTTAGCTCAAGTTGTGATTACCAGGCGTTGAGTCGAGTTTTGTTGCATTTGGAGTCAAATTGAAGAAGTTAGAGTCCAACAATCGGCGCTTGAGAGACAATCGGGAGGAGCTAGAGAGCATTCAAGAAAGATTTGAGAGATTTGGAGGTCACCGGGTGATTCACGGCGAAAATTTGATGAAGAAAGAGCATTTGGATTGACCCTGTTTGCATGCGGGAGCATTTGGGGCAAGAAAACAAGAAAAAGGAGAAAAAAAGGGACGCACGGTCGTGCGTCTGGTACGCACGATCGTGCGTCGGATACGAAATCACGAAGTACT